TTTACAAAGTATATTTTTTATTAAAGTAAAAAAATTATGATAGGAATGGGAAATTTCCAGGTGCAATCTAAAAACTAGGGCGCAGGCATGATGATGAATTTTAAACTAGTCTTAGTTCATTTAAGCATATTTTCAATAAAAATATTAATGTATAGTTATTTATATATGTACAGAGAAAGTGAAAGTTTTTAATTTTTTTTACTAATAAAATAAATGCAAAAGAAAAAGGTAAACAATATTCTCCAATACCTTTAGTGAAAAGTTACAGAGTAAAATTAGTAAATTGTAGTATTTAAATAAGCTTTTGAATATCTGCAAAAAATTATTCATAATCAGAACAACTTTGTCAAAATTTCTGTGGACTAGGAGTTGACTGTAAGTGATTTAAAAAAAAAAAACAATACATTTGAATAGAGGAAGGGGTGCTGTGGATTTATTTCTTAGTTTTGTCGTTTAGATTGTTAAATCGATATAACCTAATATCGCGATATAAAAGGGTTGATTATATCGATTTAAGAAATCTCTATATCGTCCAGCCCTAATCAACACGTCAAGGTCTCCCTCTTTGTCACAAATGGTCTAGCTATACAAATCTATTGTTCAATTTTAGTGCAGTTGTCTTTCATCTAAATGATGTGCATTCCACTTAAGTTCACTTATTTTTATAAACTTGATCTCAATAGATTTTATATGATTCTAAATTGGCATAACTTAATCACACATATTGAACATAAACAGGGGTCTGTACAAGCCAAATTTACTAAAGTTTAGCGGTACCTTCACAAATTCAACTTTAGGGAAAACGGTAGTTTCACAAAATACTTTTTCTTAAAACTTTATTTTCATGTCTCGTAAGAAACGATAAATCCATATTTTAACCATTTTTTTGTGTTGATTTCTTAATGTAATTTTTAAATTTCACAAATTATGTCTAAATTTTCACAAAATAGGTGCCTCTGAGAAAAACCTAGACAGACTCCTTATAAAGATGTGTGGCTCATCCCTAATCTTTACTCCTTTAAATATAGCCCTCAAGATCTTACAAAACATATTTTCCACTTTTTTGACTACAGTTCATGTTTCCACAACATATGCTAACGTATCACTGATGAAGGATTTGTATAAAAGAATTTTTGTCTTTCTTTACTCTGCTTGAAATTTAAAAAGTTTCATCAGGCTATAAAAGACATTATTTGCAGTCAGTGTTTTCATCATAGAAAAAAAATGGGTGAGAATTTCTCACCCTTTCTCAAAAACAGGGTGAGATTTCAGAAAGTTAAGTAAGATTTCTAAAAACTGAAAAAATACAAATAGACTTGAAAAAAAAAATTTCTTTCATTATAATACATTTTTAACGTCTTCTATTTTTTAAAGCATTGAATATTCTTGCTGCATCATCATAGAAGATTTTGCCTTTACTAGGTATTTGTCCATCTTACATTAGTGCATAAAAAATTTGAACGTCTTACATGAAAAAACCTGACCTGCGGTAAACACGTGGTTGCAGAGAAATGTGTTCTGAAAGGGGTTCCGTGGTTCGGATCTGAACAATACTGGTAAATAGGGAAGCTAGATAACGGGGCAAATGTTGAAAATAATGAAAGATCCAGGAAGAAAAGTGAAGTGGATTTTATTCTAATTGGCGTAATTCAAAGCTTTTTCCAAAATGCGAGAAATTCGCAAATTTTGAAATTGATTTATAGAATGCGCGAATTTCTCGCGGTAATCATTTTTTAATGCGAGAAAAGAAAAAATATGCGAGATTCTCGCTTTCTCGCGCTGTAGTGAAAACACTGGCAGTAGTTAGACCTATATTTATTTTCAATATTATATCATTGTTCATTACAAATTCAATTCTTTGTTGGAAGTTATTATATAACAAAATATCAATCAGAGAAATATCTTGCTCTTGAAAAATATAGTTCAAGATTTCTCCATCTTCAAAAATTTAAGAAATTTACTCATGTATGAAAAACCCAAAAAACATGAGCAACACAAATAGTTAATTCATGAATGATGAGCTTATTTTGATTTTATTAATTTAGCTTATTTTGATTCTCCTCTTGTGATCAATTTTTTCTTTGTAACTGTGATTTTAGTGTTGGGCCGGTGTCAGCCATGAATATATGTGTAAGTTCTTATCTACATTTGATACATAATTGTATTTTTATTTTTTTATCAAATAGGTTTGTCAAGTTGCAAAATTCAAGAAAAACGAATATCAGAATTGTGGAAATACAAGCAATGGCTTTGTTTGGAGTGCAGATCGCAACTCATTAAATTTGCAGTATAGTGTTGGAGGTGATGATCATAATCCAAGGTGAAATTTTTACTTTATTTGAAAAAATTTTGCTCAGTTTATAAACTTAATTTTCGCTGACATGAGTTTAAATTTGCGAGAGAAAACTTGTAAAAAAATGTCTGGTATCCACTGCTTCTTTATGGAATAACAATGAAAAATTTGTTTGATTTGCGGAAAAGCAACCAGACTGATTGGCATATCATCAGAAGCCTATTCAGGACTTCCTATTAAGATCCTGTTTTTAGAAATTTGTGGAAAAAGTTTGGAATTTTTAGAAAATTATAGTGATTTGTTTAAATAATGTCAAATTTTTGTAAAAGTAATATTTTTATGTAAAAAGGGCACAATGTAAGAAAGAAATACTTTAGGGCGTCTATTAAAACTAAATTCAGCGGTGCGACAGCCCATAGAGGGCCAAGGCCTACTGTGCCCATCTCAGTTTTCTTGACCTTGGGTTCTGGGGTGCAGGAGCAGATGTTCCGGTCAGGTGGTTAGCGGAACCCGCAGTGTTTAGTCCCTAAGCATGCTTGGTACTCATTTATCGACCCACTGAAGGGATGAAAGGCTGAGTCAACCTTGCTCGGCTCGAGGATCGAACCCGGGACCTGTGGCACGACAGCGCGAAGCGCTACTGCTCGGCCACCCGGCGTCAGGGTGTCTATTATCTATTATATTAAAAATAATTTTCCCTCTTCGTTAAACCTAGTTTGTTAAATTAAACCTAATTTGATTGTATATTGTTGATTGATTGAAAAATTACGTCACAATATTCTTCTGTTGTTATTAAATGCAGTAGTAGGAAGTGGCTATAATAGTTTAACTATATATTGGAAGACTATAATAGTGTCACTACAATGGTAGTGGAGCGAGTAGTGTGTGTAGAATCATGTTTAACTAATATCTAAAATGACTGATAGATAATTTATCACTTTGATCACATTTTCATATATGAGAGTACACTCATGAAACATTGATGTTATTTAAAAAAAGGGGAACATATTTTAAATAGTACTTAATTTCTTATAAGAAATTAAAGAGAATTAAACACTTAAAAAAATTGCAAACATTTGATAATTTCCTAGCATTTCTTAATTTAAATATTCGCTGTCGAGAAAGGTATAAAAAGTTGTAGGTTAATTGAACAAATTTTTTAAGAAAATATTAAAGAATAACAAACTGGCTCAAACTAAATTTACACATTTTTATAGCATTTTGAATATATTGTTGTTTAATTATTAATTCTGGTTAGTATATTGTTGATCATGAAGAACAAGTATACTTTGTACTTGAAGAACAAGTACACATATAGTTTTTCTTTTCTCTGCTATTAATTAGAATAATAAAAATAAAAAAATTTGTTTTATTAATTTTATTTTGTCTTATGTTATTTTTGTTTATGGTATATTAATTTCTTTATTTTTGCATGTGTTTATACATATATGTTAAAATATGTATATATACATACATATATATTAATATTTTTCCTTTATTCATTTCAGAAAAACAAATGTTTTTCTTGTTTGTAACAAAGAAGCAACAATACCCACATTAATAGTTACGGGCGAAAGTAAACCTGGAAGTATGGTTTATGTAAGTTTTAGGTTGTTTTTATTTATTTGTATGCTGCTTTGTTTCAAGGCGAATATGCCAAGAAAAGTGCAAAACATGCCACGAAACATGCCAACTGACTATTATTTTTCCCACTAGCTTTAAAGTTTTGCTTAAAGAATTAATAGGATTTTTTTCTATTTCGGTTCTTTTTTTCCCTTTTTTTTAATAGCTGTTAGTCAGTTTTTTATTTATCTTTATCTTAAATATTTCAAATGGATAACCATTATAATTTTTATTTCATTTACTCCCAAACCAATCATACAGCTAAGTTTTGATTTTTTTAAGATAATTTTTCAATAATAACTAAACTTATTCATTAAAAAAAACAATATTTATTAAAAAAAAAATTTTAAAACAAAAAAGTTGCTATTCAGTCATTTTTTTAATTTTTTTTTTGGGCTGAATATTTAGTATTTGGCCATTGAGCGCAATCACTATTTGTTACATCCCTAGTCTACACATTTAAAAATATTACACTAAACTACTGGTTTGGTGATTTTTTTTTTTTTTTCTTGATTCCTAACCTACTCTATTCTTCTAAGCAAAAATAAATGTTCTAGAAGCTCTGAATTTAGTTTCAATAGTGACTACTAAAATATATTCTAAATAGATTTAATAAAGCAGACTTCTCTGGGTTTTAACGGAAATATTGGCTCTTCAGAATAAAACTGTGTGGCGGTGAAAGCAATATTTTAAAAAGCAATATTCTTTCAATTAAGTAATAATTATCTTACATAAGCAATAAATAATGAAAGCAAATCTTAGTTTTCATTATGCCAGTTAATTAAAATTGATGTAAAGTTGCTTATTAATTCTAAGTTTTATTTCAGCTTGAATATAGCTGTTTTCATTTTTGAAAACATTTATATTTACCTACATGAAAATATTTTTTAATTTTAACCTTTTAGAATAGACATGGTGTGAGAAAGCGAAGAATTTAAATTCGTTATGAAAAAATATGAGCTCAATATGTTGAATGATCTTAACTTGTTTGTTTTAGGAAATGACTTTAACAAGTAAATGTGCATGTCCTAACCTCTGCCATGAAGATCATCTTTCTGCTGGTTCTGTTCTTGTGATATTGTGAGTCATGTTTTGCATTATTGCATATTTATTGCATCAGTCATAAACTTGCTTTTTAAATTTTATCTCCCAATATTCTTTTAAAAAGAAATTTCCAATTTTTTGTGTTAATATTCTTAGATATTAATTAACTTATTATGTACTTATATTATTAACTTATTCTGTATGTTTATTTAAGTAATACTCAGATGCCGTGCCAAATATGTTGATTACATATTTAATCCATTATTAGTATTTCACTATATTTAATATCAAGAAATCTGTAGATTATACAAAGTTTTTCTATCTGTTTTTTATCAATGTGATCTATCAATTTTGGCTGCATTACAGAAAGAACTTCTGCATTAAAAGTGATTCAGGAGTAGAAAACTGTCATTGTGTTCAAACATTTTTATGGAAGGAGTGTCGTGATAGCCAATGAGTCATAAAACTTCTTTGTTTGAAGAGAACAAAACTTTCAACAATTTCATTCTCTAAATTGAAAAACAATTGTCTGTTAAAAAAAGCGTAGAATCCTAAGTTGATCTAAGCTTTTTTTATAAATTCAGTGCAGTAGTAACCAGAGTCGTACAGACTCCTTAGAAACTCCTTGGAAATAAAAATGTTTCCAAGGAGTACTTGGAACTACTTAGATTTCCAAATTAGTCCTTAGAAACTCCTTAGATTATTGTATTGCGTAGATGAACTTACTAAGTCCGCTGATGAATTTGCTGTCCAAGCAGGGGAATGAAATGATGTGACTTAGCCGTCAAAATCTAATAGTTTAAGAAAAAAACTTTAAAAGAAAAAAAAATTTAATTGCAAGAAGAAAAAAATAACAGCAAATAATTTTAATTTTACATGTTACAAGCAAACTTAATAATTTACTGTGATTTTTATTCTTATTTTTTTGTATAAAATGCCTTGGATTTTTTTGTGTATTCAAATTTAAAAATATAAGATTGTTGGGTTGTTATGTTAATCTTTAACATCTGTACTATGTTCTTTAACAAGATTTCTCACAATATTTGAAATTGAAAATGTATTTATGTGTAAAAGTGATAACTTTATTTATTTTTCTTGATGAAGTTTGACAAAGTCAAAATTTATTTCAAAAGGGTTAGAGAAAAAATATGCAAAATATACATCTTTGCAATACATAGTTCCTTATAATAACTGCTTTTTAATTTTTTAAAAAAAAAACTCTAGTTATCTTTTACGCAAAGTTTTTAAATTTTTGATAAGTCCTTAAAACTTTTAGACTCCTTGGATTTCTTCTTCTGATATCTGTATGAACCCTGCTAGTAGTAACTCAGGGCATAAATTCTTCAAATGCCAGATTACTGTCGGCAGCCGAATAGTTGACTGGTGAGTAAATTTGGTTTGGTAACTTGGACAAACCTTTGGGTGATATGCAACCGTCAGCTGTCATATGCTAGTATACAAAAACTCTTTGAACATTGAAACACCTGATGGTTTTGCTTGTGGTGGCTTGAAACCAACCCAGCTTCAGATAAATAGATGCCAGCTTGAAATAAAGTTGTTTCAATGCTAACCATATTGTCACCATCATGCTGTTGGTCATAAATTCTGGGGCAGTAACCTCCATGATTCCTCTGGCCCACAATGGGCTGTTGTGGATATGTTTTACTTGTTTAAATACTAGGGTTACTATTAACGTCCAAGACTTATCTGATAATTCCATGGTATATTATGTAAAATTACTTGCCGATTTGATGTGCATTAAAGTAACCTCGATTTTATGTAATGCTCTCTTGAGCGTAAAATTTTCAAATCTTTAAGAATACTTATAATTTATGACTCGTGTTTGTTGCATCCTTATGTCTAGTTCCCTTGTTTTGCATCTGCGAAAGATTTGTCTAAAGATTATAACTGATTCATCTCCACTACTTTAAAAACCAAGAAGTTAAAAAGAAAAAAAATGCTTAACGTTGTTAAAGTTATTAAAAAAAAAGCAACATCAGAATTTAACAGCATTCATCAATTGCTGAATTTTTTTAACAGCATTCAGCTACAACAAAGTCTGAATTGTATCTGAAATTTTTCCTTCAGAATACAGAAGTTCGTTATAGCAGGTGGAGGTTACCTTAAAACAAATTTAATTGTTATCTAGTTTAGTTATTGATTTCAGAAATTATTAGACCTGTCCTGAGAATTAGTAACCTCGCATTGTAATTTTCAAGCTTAGTGTATGCAATTTGAAAATTTAATTTTTTTTTCCTTCCTAATTTATTCTGTCTTCTTTTTCAGGTTTTTAATATTTGTTTTATTATATCTTGTACTGGGAATTATCCATTCAAGTTTAACACGTGGTGCTCACGGATGGGAGTTGATTCCTCATTATGAATTTTGGGCGGATTTTCCACTTTTAGTCCGAGTAAGCAATTTTTTAAATTATTAAATACATATCGCTTATTGTTATTAAGGAATTCAAGCTATATAGTGTACAAAAAAAATGAACATCCCTTGAATAACTTTTGTTCTAATGATCAGATTTTCCCATACTATGTGCCAATCTTAATAATTTTTATTTACGCTAATTAATCAGAGCAGAAGATATTTCAAGTTAAGCTCTTAGCAAACATGCATTTTATTTTTCCCAATGAATTTCGATTCCTGCCCCTCAAAATATAGGGGGTAGCCGCCATCTGGAAAATATGGTCCCAATAATTTGATAAAGCTAGCCATCGTAAGTTTACACCCCTTCACGTAAATTTCACTTTTTGCGTATTTCACCATATTTTAAGAATTTTCAAGGTGAATTCAAAAATTTTTGCTCGCATTTACTGATTTTGTAACTTTAACTATCATATACTGTAATTTATTAACATATTTAATGTTAGGCACCTGAACCAGTAAGTTAGATTCTGAGTATATGAAAGTTTAATCTTTCAATGTAAAGTTATTCAGGGTGTTTTTTCTTTTTGCACTGTTCATTAATATGAATATAAATGAAATTAAGTTTGGTTAATAACTTTTATTTTTCAGGATGGCTGTGTCTTTGTAATGAGTGGTTGCAAGGCAGAAACGGCATATGAAAGAATATGAAAGCAACTACATCTTAGAGATAAAAAGCATGTGAAAAGTGATTTTTATAAATATTTTCTATTTTGAGATTTTAAGGTTTATACTTAAACCTTCTGTTACACAAAGTATTTTTTAAACTTTTCAAGAACAGAAAGTTGCGCTCATTCAGAAATAATTACCATTTTATAGGCAATATTTATATGATTTATCTCCAGCTATGTTTGGTGCTCATTGCAAAAAAGGATTTAATTTTAAGCAATGAATTCAATGCTCTTTAAAAATATGTTTTTTAGCATTAGTTATGATGGCTCTGGAAGTTTGTGGTTTTAATTTTTTTCTGTGTAATTGTAGTAGTGTTTCTTAATGTAAACTATATTGCCATGCATTTGAATGTTTGTGTTAAAAAAAATTTCTTTATTCTTTTAATTTAGTTTAATTTTTATATTCTTTATAGTTGTAAGGTAAGTTTTTATGTTTAACCTATCCAGTGCAGGGTGTTTAAAAAGACTTATCTAAGGCACAGATATTAGTTCTGCCTTCTAGTTTTCTGTCAAAAGCTTTTTCACTCATTTTTATTGTTACATATTTTAATATTTCATTCAATAGCTATTAATTTCTTAAATTTCTTCTCATACTTGTTTAAAACCATAAATTCACACGATAGAGGATAAATAAAATAAGATATGCATTATCTGTTTTTTTATGTATGCTCAAGTTGATATTGTGTAACTGCCTACAATAATTGTTTGATACTTTTCTCTACTTATTTTATTTAATTAAAAACACTAATTCTTTTAAAAATAAAAATAATAATGTAAGCTATTTATTATAAACTATTTAAAGATTAATAATTTTAAATGTCTAACTATTAGTTTAATTTTATTTCAATTCTTTCTATTGGAAAAATTTAATTTAACAAGTAAACATTTTGAATGAATTATGATTTTGAAAATTTTTAAAGCGATGTCGCAGAATTTATGAGTTACATTTTTTTTTTAAATTTGTAAATTAGATTATTCTATTTTAATTATTATTGTTTTTCAAATTTAAACAAATATGTTTAGTAAAGCCATATAAAATCTGATAATTTGTTTTGATTTAACTTAATAGTCACTTGTTTTCATTTTATTTTAATTTTGATATTTGTTGATTTATTTTTCTCTTGGTATATCCATTCTTCTCCCAATAAATGTTCTTCTCTAACTTGTGTATAAATCTTTTGTGGAAACCTGAGAATATCATGTATTTTTTTTTTCTTGATCTCGCTTTAGTTTTTCATTGAACCTTTGTATAGTTTCATAATGTGGCTGAAGCACATATACTCTGTGTTCTCTTTCATTAAACCTTATTGTTTTTCAGTTTTCCAGAAAAAAAACTTTATTTTGAGTATAATGCCGCAAATGTGCAAGTAAAAATTTGCAATAAACACTCTCACAGAACAAAGTACAAAAGTTTATGTTGCACTTTTAGTTCTATAATAATTAAACATATAATTTTTAAATAATTAAAGCACTTGATTTCCTACACATTGTTTATTATACTAAAATAGGCACTATACTCATATTTAGTGCCAGTATTCCTCAAAAATTTATTAAATTTAGTTTTTCAATTTTATTATTTTTTACTACTGCCTGTGTTCAAATATATGGTACATTTTGCTGTGCTTTATTGATTATGTGAGTTTCATTTAGATCTGAAAATTTAATCTTCATGTATGTATTATATCTAATTATGTATGGTTATGACTGAATTTACAAAAAATGCCTAATTGAGTAATAGTATTTTGTATTATAGAAAAAAAATTTTTAAATAAAAACTTTGAATGCAGATTTAAAAAGATTTAAGTCTTATTTTTAATTTGTACCCTTTTTTTTAAGTTTGTTACTTGTTTAATGTCGTTTGCAAATGTTTATAATTCATATTACACAAACTAAGTGATTAAAGTAAAAACATAAATAAATAAATAAAGATCTCTTGTTTACTTGGAAGCTAATATTAAACAGATTTGATATCTTTTCTCCAGAAAATACAGTTCTTTCTCTCTTTGTCTTTTTTTTTTGGGGGGGGGGAGGAGAGAGAATAAAATTCATATATAGTTTTTTTTTTCTTTTTTCTCCAAGTTTCCAGAAAATACAGCTTTTTGTCTAATTTTATCTTAATGTTGATAATTTGAAAAATGTTGCACAAAAATGATTTAAAAAAAAAGCTATGTGCTAGGTATAATATTAAAAACTGTGTTATATTGTAGAATTTAATATTTAATAAGCTCATTCAATTTTTTGCACTAAAATAGTTACTATTTAAAGGCAGCTAAGGTTAAAATCCACTACATTTAATAAATTGTGTGTTAAATTTCTTCAATTGTTAGTAATAATACCAAATGACCTTCCTATATCCATACTTCCTATATCCTGTAACTTTCCCTATATCCTTACAATATTTATATAAAAACTTATTTTCTTTAAAAAAAATTTTAAAAAACGTTACAATAAATATCTAACATTTGAAAATTTTTCTAAATTTTAAATTTTCTGTTGTTCCAGATATTGTTGTTGTAATTAAATAAATAAAATTTAATGCAAAAATAATTTATGTATGAAATTGTTTTTGTTTTTTCTCTGTTATGTTAGCTGTTGTATTTTTACATATTGCTTAAAACAAGTGTAGAACATTAAGGCTTAAAAGTTTGTGAATACTTTCTTGGCATTAGTTTTTTTTTTTTCTTCATGGAATAGTATGTTTTGTCAAAATGATATTTGCATTCTGTTTGTTATATTTTTTTATTGCTTTTTCGATATCGGTAAAATTATTTCCACCATCTTTACTGTATCATGCTCCTGATATTGTGTTATAAGTCTTAGTTTATCTTTCTTATTAACAGTTTGTTATTTTGGCATTTCTGAAATCGGTAACAACAATATGTGCAAACTCTAAGCTCTCAAAGCTATGTAAAATGTATTATAAATTTAAGTATTGGTACCGTTGAATTTTATCAGAACTGATATTTATTTCAAAATTTAGTAGTAAAATTAAAAATATAAGAAAAGTTCTTTTATTAATTTGGTTTAAACAAAGGTTACTTTGAAGAAGAAAAAAGGGGAGAAAAGAAATGAGAAGAATCTGCCTCATAAATAAATTGACAACATTCATGGACAGCTCTTTGAATAAATAGTCCAGGGTCTAAATTAGGCTTTTTAAAGTTAATTGTCCTGAATTAATTGAATTAAATATTTGTCTTTAAATGTTAGTGCCATAATCATACTGTATATTTTAACTAAACTAAATATTTACTTATTACAGTAAATTTATGCTGCTAAATTTTGTCTTATATGTTGCATAAACATTTAATTTGCCATTGTACTAAAAAATGAACTTCTTTTTTAATTCGGAGAAGATATTTGTTTTTTAAACTTACGTGAGTTTTTAAGTTATGTCTCATTACTGCTTAGGATTTGTCAAACGCCAATTTAGCAAAGTATAAACTGCTTTAATGCCTTTATTTTTTGTTGGTGTGTGTTTCTTTGTTGTCCAGTTTTTGTTTACAGAGTTTAAGACCGCAATTATTATTTTTTCAAATTCATGTTACAAAATTTTCAAGGGCGTCGAAGGAGTCCTGTTTAAAGTGGGACAATATTAAAATAAACAGTCACAAAGTTCTTTAAATTTCACTACGAAAAAAAAATTTCTCTGTGAAATGTCTGATAAAGAATTAATTGTTTTTATTTCTTATTTTTTTGCAACTGCTGAATTTAAATTAATGATGATTCATAAAAGATTTCTTTATTTGATTGAGGGGAATTTTTAGGGATTTCTAATTATTAAGGGATATATATACCACTGTTCTTCCCCAAACAAATGATATCCATGCATATGTTACTTTGTATTTTTATTGTTCTACTTTTTGATTGTTAAAAAATTAGGATGTGCATACGCTTTACAAATCAATTAAATATATAATATTTCATTAAGTCTGAATTCTTAACTACGAAATTTTAAGAAATATTTAACTTTGAAAGCTGTATATTTGTATAAATGTGAATATCAGTTTTTAGGTTATATTTCAATGTATGAATGTTTTTGCTTTTTGTATTTTATTGAAAAATGCTAACATTGTGATATTAATAAAACATGAAGAAGAACAAGTGAAGTTCTGTTTGTTTATGAGTATTATTGGGGAGAATGCCTGGTTGGTAGGACGTTTGAGTCCGTGCCCGAAAGGTCGTGAGTTCCATCCCTGCCGCCTGAAGACTCCCTACTTAGTAAATGGTGGCTAGTGCATGTTAAATCTGTTGGGTCACAAAGTTCTCCAAGTTCCCATAACAAATCGATACCTCTGGGGTACTGAATTGGAAATTTATTGTTCTCTCGTTCAGGTCAAAATTATGATCTGTGGATGAATTATTGTGTCCGCCCTATAAACGGCATGACATATAGTGTGGTAGAAGTCACATTCTTGGCCATAGATGGCATCACTGGAATACAACAACAATCGCACCCCATCTGCCTTAATGGCCGGAGATAATAACGTTGGGGAGAATAGGATTAGACTAGGTAGTGGGATAAGACGGGTTACCTCCATTGTTTAGAAATTGGTTCTGTTTTCTAGCGGACAGGCTGAGTTACTCACTTGTCGAGAAGATTGATGTACCATGTTGGTGTTGTTGATCAATACACAGCGTCTGTGTGGATAAATTTATTTTACTATGTCAGCTCTCTAATCTTTTGTTTTTAAACGATCCTTATTTATTGGTCATAACAATTATTTTTAGCAGGACTTATCATGTGTTTACCAAAGATTTAGTCCAATAGTAGCAGAGTTCTGTTTCGTTTTGATAACCTCTGCTCTCAGGGTAAGACTGGATACTACCAGGTCTTTCCTTGATGAGTGTCCATACTGGACCCACAAAAACTTGAATCTTGGTTACGTGTTCTTACCCCACTCTCTCCTATTTACTAATACAACAGATATTCTTTTTGGAATAATTAAATAAAATAACTCGAACAAAAAGGAAAACAAAATAAAGATTCAATAGATACAAAACAATAACTTGCAAATTATTAAAATTTGAAGAAAAAAACATTACACAATTTATTAAATGTTCTTAAATTATAAAATGTTGACTCGAAGCATTTCTCGATTGATTTAAGCAACTTAAAATCTTATGTTTGTAAGTCTCTTTTATGTTCTTTACGGCACTGAAACTAGTTATCAACTCAAGGCAGCAAGGAGGCACTCACTTCAAATTAATAATTCTTAAAACAGAGAGTGTCGCGTTTTTAAAAAGTGCTTAAAGGTGTATATTTCAGTTTTTTAAAAGCCTTTTGGATGTTTTTAAAAAGTGCTTCAATTTTATTTTTCTAATGAGAATTTTTTCTTTCTTTACCATGATGATTCTCACCACGAATTATGCAAAAAGCCGGGTTTTCAAATTGTTCTACTTTTTACGTTCAATCTGTCGACCACAATCCATTTCGGCATACCGTCAGTCCGCTGCGTATGAAAGAGCCAATTATTTTATATGCTGGGTGATATACTTGCGGGTCCGCATGTGCGTATACTGAGCTGGATTCAGTACTTTCAAACCTTTATTACTTTTTTTAAACTTATTACTTTTTATTATTGTAATATTACTTATAAAATTCTCAATGCTCTTAATTTATTTTATGAAATAACTTAATAATATTTAGAGGTAAGATTTTTAAAAAAGCATGAAGTGCGGGACTTTCAATATTTAAAATGCAGCCAAAAAATCTTATGTTATTCAGATTTGTCATTCCAATAAATTTCTATTCATATCTTAGTGATATGATTTATTAAAAACAATTGAAATAAAAAATTCAATTATCGCAGATTTCGTTTAATATTATAAGGAGGTAATATACGAAACCCCGATTTTTGCTCCGTCTTTCGAAGCGAACTAATTGCAATCGACAGGGGACTAGAGAAAATCTTGAGTGAAGGGCACCTTGGATACTATCTGACAGCCGTAGTTCATTTCAACACCTCAAAAATTGGGCCCTCATTGGAGATAAAACCAGTTTTTCGATCTTACAAAAAGTAAAGCTCATTTCCCAACAGCATGAGGTCCACTTTCAATGGATCCCGTTCCACGTCGATATCCACGGCAACGAGTTGGCTGACACTCTTGCAAAGAAGGGACTAGACCATCCAGCATCAAAGAAATGGAAAAGAAGAATGTTCTCAGAATTCAGCAAATTTTCTTTTTAGGTAATATAAAATTTATTTATATTACTTGCATCATTAAATCTNGATCTTTCCTCTTTGCCCTAAATGCCAACAAAACCAGGCATCACCTGAGCACATCTTGAACTGTTTAGGGCTGGACTGGAACGACATTCATTCCTCTCCCATTCTGGTTTCGGATTTTCTTAATGTCAACGGATTCATTGATCTGGTCTGACCCCGTCAGACCAGATGGGAATTGGCAACAACAACAAGAGGTAATATAATAATTTACTTCTAACAAAAATGTTTAGCTCCTATACTCATTTGTTTACATTTTAAAACTATTTAATTTTTTTTAATTATTTCATTAAAGAGATGCTGAACCAAGTAACAAATTTTAATAAAAATTTATTAAGAACCATTCTCTAATTTACATTTGAAATATGAATTTATTAAAGTTTCCTTCATTGATTCTTAATCCCATCTTAATGGCTTCCTTCTCCTGACATAAAAAGGATTGTGTTAGTGCTGTCTGCGTTCTAGCGATAACATCTAAATCATCAACAAAAGCCAATATTTGGATTGATTTGTTGAAGATATTTCCTCGGCTGTTGATGTTTGAGTCCCTTACTATTTTTTCTAATGCTAGATTAAAGAGGAGACATGCCAAGGCATCTCCCTGTCGTACACCATTTTTAATTTCTATTGGATGGGAAAGACTATTCTGTATCTTGACCATGATTTTGGTTTCACTTAGTGTCAGGCTAATCAGCTTCACTAGTTTCTCCGGTATATTAAATTCTCTTAAGGCTGATATTAGAGTTTTTCGGCTAACACTATCGTAGGCTGTTTTGAAATTAATAAACAGATGGGGCGTGTCAATACCAAATTCTATTGTCTTCTCCAAAATTTGCCGGATGTTAAAAATTTGCGCTGAGGTGGATCTCCCCTTCCTGAATCCGGTCTGATAATCTCCAATTATATTCTCAACAAGTGGGGAGAGATTTTTTTGAAAAGGATGTTAGAAAATACTTCATAACTTGTACAGAGCAAGCTAATTCTTCTGTAGTTTGGTTTGAGCAATCCAGTATATCTCCTTTCTTGTGTATCGCACAGGTCATGCTGGTTTTCCACTCTTCAGGGATTAATTCTTGCTCCCATTATAGCTCGTACCAGATCATATATTTTCTTCGTGACACTTGTTCCCCCATTTTTTAGGAATTCTGATGGGATTTCATCGGGCCCCGGTGCTTTATTGTCCTTTAACTTTTTTATTCCGTCATCAACTTCTTCTAATATTGGTGGTTCCCCAATATGTTGGTTATAAATTCCAATGTCTTCTGTAGGTGGTTCATGTTCATCTCCAACTCCATTCAGTAGTTCATAAAAATGCTCATTCAATCTCTCCAATACTTGCAAATTGTTAGTCAAGATTGCTCCATTCTTGTCACGACATGAGGTAGCTCTGTGTTTGAATTCCTTTCGTCCTAGGTTTATTTCCCGAAAGAAAGATCCATTAGATCCCCTTAAATGTTCAACATTTTTTAAAAGATCCTCGAGAAATGCCTTCTTTTTTGTTTTATGAATTCTCTTCTCCTTTCTTGCCTCTCTGCACAAAAGCTGGCTATGAAAAAATACAGTTTGAAATTGGGGCATACAAATTCGAAGTCGTTGATAGCTTTACCTATTTGGGGTCTAAGATTAACAACAAAAACGACACTACACAAGAAATACACACGAGAATCACGATGGCCAATAAGTGTTTTTATGGTCTAAGAAAATATCTTAAGTCAAGCCTAATAAAAAGAAAAACAAAAGTGTTACTCCATAAATGTCTTATACGATCAGCACTTACATACGTATGTGAGACCTGGACAATGACCTGTGGAGAGGAAAATACTGCGAAGCATTTTTCGTGGAATAAGTAAAAACAGTTCCTGGTTTAGAAGATCAAACACGGAACTTTACAAAGCATATAAAGAACCTGATGTCATTAAATTTATCAAAATTCAAAGGATTAAATGGGCAGGCCACATTATAAGAATGGGGGATAGCAGGACAACCAAAAAAGTTTTCAGTGCCAGGCCAACAGGTACAAGAAAAAGAGGACGGCCAAACCTAAGATTTTTAGACTGCCTTGAAAAGGACCTACAAGTTTTAAAGATAATAAACTGGAGACCCTTGGCTAAGGGAAGAATGTCTTGGCATAGGCTTGTTGAGAAGGCCAAGGCCCATCCTGGGCTGTCGTGCCAATGAGAAGAAGAAAGTTTCCTTAATTTGCTTAATTCTTTACATATCTTTATAAATTCGATATGGTCAATAATAATCTTGTTAATGTTTTGTTGAATATGCTTTCATAAATAACTTTTATTTAAATTTAAAAATTACACTCGATAACCTTTTTACATAATAGTTAAATTATTTTAAACTAAATTTTTTTACATAGTTAAATATAGTAATTATTAATTTAAAAAATTGAATAAGTCACTCAATATTGAATATATTCAAAATTGTGTATAAATTGTTTTTATGGTGATTAATTTAATCAAGAAAAAGGTTCTTTGAAAATTGTTTTGAGAAAAAAGAATTTTTAGTACCCATATCCTAATTATATTTTTTAAAAAAGTTTAAAATATTTTCTGAGTTCTTAAAATGTGTTTTTTTTTTTTTTTTTTTTTTTTTTTTTTTTTTTTTGAAAAATTTGGCTACGCACTCTTTTAAACGAAAACGTCTGAATATGAAGAATATATAACGGTTACTAACCTTGTAGATTTTAAATATCAATGCCAAATTAAACAAATGTTTAATTTGAAGAAAAAAAATAGCGTAAAGAATTGCATTTTTGTGTCTAAGCAAGGGCTTCCGCAAAACGGAGGTCAAGTGTGCAATCCCCCCCCCAACTGGAAATTAAAAAATTGAGCTGTAATGTTGCCTTTTTAAGAGTGATGCTATAATAAGCTTTATTTATTTATTTTTTATTTACTGATTAGAAAGCATGGCAAAAATAATGAATAGGAAATTAAAAAAATTTAGAACTTCAGATCTCACTCTTTTGTGTGCTAAGATCTTAACTTGATTAAAGCGTGATATTTATATTATTATAAACCGTAGTAGCATTGTAGTGGTTAAAGAATCGAACTCCGGTTCGGAGGGACCGGGGTTCAATCCACGACTCCGCTAAGACCCATCAAATTCAAGCGATAAAAGTGCTCGTAAGATCTGTGGAATCGAAAGTCCTGTAGTCAGTCACTGAGCAGTACCATAAGAACAGGAATCTGGAGAAAATTTCCTTCCTCATTAGATCTATGTCAAAATTGTGGAAGTGACCACGCGAATAGGTGGTGATGCCGTCTATCCGGGAGTTCTGAGCTGAGACACGCTTTCACCCTTGCGGTGCTCTTTTGCCAAACGAACGGCCCTCCTTTCTGTCTTAATTCGCAAAGGCAATGGCTGGCGTGCTTAGCCAGTCCAAGTATCATAAGAAACAACAACAATAAGATTATATCGTAATATTTTAATAAAACGCAATTTTTTTTTATTTGTTAAAAATACAAATTTTTGTCACAAATTGTTAGTTTAGCATTTTCAATTAAATTATTGAAAATATATATGGATACATTTATGAATATTTTCCCCGGATGCGAACTCCCTCCGAAAAATTTCAAATTATGCCCTTGTGTGTATGGTACGATACACTCCAAATTAAATTCCATCTACGGTTTATATTAATATTAAAAACATAAAATCCAGTTTAAGAGAACAAAATAAAAAATGTTTAAATCGTTTCTGTTATTATTATTCGTATACTCTCATCTTTTGTTACATTAATATAGGGAAAAATATAACTGATTTAGTTTCTCGCGTTATAAATGTTTTATTTTCTGTTTGGACTAAGAGTGAACATAATTAGAATTTCTTATCAGTGGGAAGGAAATTTTAGTTGAAATTATTTATCGTTGACCTTGAAATAAACTAATTGCCCAAAACTAATTATGCATCCTTTGCACACGGATGTAACAACACGGATATTTAATTTGAATGTTTGATTCTTGTTTAAACAAAGATAAGTTATACTGTACTAAAAAAAGGAAGATCATTTAATTTTTAATTTCTTTAATAATTAACTATCCGCCATCGGAATAGATTGTTCGCCTTCGCAAGCTCATCACTTCGAAAGATATACACTGGCGTAGCTAACTTGGCATCATTGCTTCGAATACTTCATTGTGGCGCCATCTATGGCCAAGAATTCGACTTCTGCCACACAATACGTCATGCCCGTTTATAGGGCGGGCCCCATTCATTCATCCACAGATCGTAATTTTAACTTGAATGAAAGAACGATGGACTTTTGACCTTAAAGGAGGTAGAGATTGCTAGTTCTTTGTTCAGACTCCGAAAACTTGACCAAAGATGAACTAATAGGAGGGTTAGTTTCATTAGTTATTTTGTGCTGGTTTTATATTACATTCTGGACTTGAGTTGAAAAATATGTAACCATTGATATAATTGAAATTATTAACTAAAATGATTTGAAAATTTTTGCAGTACATATGGATGCCACAGGCGATTAAAAATGTAAGGTGTGGTAAAAAACTCAATTTATTATTTGTTTATTTAATTATTCAATTGTAACTACTACCATGGCATACATTGTAAATTATTCAAATTTAAAGCAAAAAATTCTCCTCTAAGGATTTGACATTTGGCTGGTTGCCATTTTGATTCGTTGCATTACGGGGTGTTTCAAAATTCCATCTAGGGGGGAGGTGACAAAAGTATTTAAACTCGCCTTTGAACAGCGGTTCCCAATTTTTTTTTCTTTTTTCGGTTATGGAACACTAAATAGTTGATCTTCTTTTCGTGGAACTCTGATGTTCATTCGCATTTCGGAATAAATTATTTAAATGAAAACAACTATTTTGAGAATATTTCACTAAATTTAATTTTTTCATCGCTTTATCATCCTTAAATTAAATTTTTAAAATTAAGTTGTTAAAACGCAAAAAAATACTGTTATAAATGCTGGAGAATAGTTATATGAGTTGTTTTACTTTGAATTGAAAAGTTCCATGTGGGATAGTAATGCAGAGTTCTATATACGCCTGTCTCTGACATAGTTTATTCAACATACTCATTTTTTATTATTGTTATTTCTTTTTATCTGGAATTTTAGATTCATTTCATAAAAATAACCAAAATATTAAAGAAATACTGATTTATTGATTACCTAAAAATGTAATTTCGAGCTTAAAAACTCATTGCTGGTTTTAAAAAAGTTTTAATCCCCGAAGCCCTTGCGACCCTTCCATGGGCTTGCAAATCACGTTGAGAGAGTGAAAATCTCAAAAAACGCATACAGATTCTGAATCAAGAGGAAAAGATAAGTGGAGGTGAGAAATTTTTACATTTTGCTTCGAAGTGACTTTTTGCTATGAGGTCTATTTAAAACCACCAGTTTATGCTACAAATGGAGCCACATCGGAGAATCTCATTTGTTGTTTTGCTGTTCTTTGAAAATATCAAATGCACATCGGGCATTTTAGAGCGTGTCCAGGAATCATTTTTACGTCGCTGTTAGTAGTGCCACTTCAAAAAACTCTTACAATAATTAATTAAATAAATCTTTTTTGTAGTTAAACCGCAGCTTTTTTTGTTACTATCTCACAGCGTAAAATCGAACCCTGCATAAGTTTTTCGCCATTTTTGTCCCCTCAACATTGTTTAAGATCCTATGTTCTATGGTGAGATTTTATCCTCTCAATGCCATTATCCCCCCCTCTGAATTTATCTTCCTTTATCATCACCCTTCTGAAATACCTAATTTTAAATAATGTAAAAATTATATACCTCAAATATTTTCTTACTATTATTTTATAAAAATAACAAATATTTACTAATTTTTTTTTTTGCGTGGAATTATCTTTGTATAAACGAATTTTATGATTGTGTGCAAAAAATTTTCAATTCGCTTAAAAAGTTCTCTTGTTTTTTTTGTTTTTTTTTAGCGCAGCGTATATTGTAAACTTTATAAGAAAGGCGTGTTATTTGCTAGCTTATTCAAAAAAAAAACTTTTTTACAGTTTTAGGGGTAAAAAGAGGACTTTAGAGTAGAGATATCCAAGTCAACGAGATGTAATTGTACTTAATCCCTAAACTTTAATCATGCCTTATATGGTTATTCATGCATCTCCATATCAAATGTATGGTAAAAATGATTCTGTTCCCTATATTAAATGCCTCTAAAGAATGTATTTGCAATGACGCAAACATGCATCTGGTGGATTACTTAAAGTCAATTGATCTAGGTCAGCCTAATGAGATAAATGTTTCTTACTCTTTGATGCAGATTTTTTTTATTAAACATATTTTTTATGCTTTTTTCATTATTTTGTATTAGTTTAGATAAAAATAAGCGATAAATATAATCAATTATTGATAAATATGAATGAATGAAATTTTCTTTCAAACTACTTCTTTTGATTTTTATAATAGTACAAAAATTGCGATAATCTAAGTGATTATCAAAATGCATGTGACACTGATTATCTAACAGATTTTTTTAGTGACTATTAGAGTGCTTTTTAAAATTTAAAAAAAAAAACCGAAACATATTTTTGCTTGTAATTAAAGTTTCAGAAAAAAATATATTAAAGGAACACCGGTGTTGCTAGTGTGTCAAAACGTTATAGATCAAAGTCATAAAACGATGACTTAAATTTTAGTGCAAAATGAATTTTATCGCTTTTAAGTCACATTATTTTTATTTGCTTTTTGACAGGACAAGAAAATTTGCCCTTTATATATATAAAAAAATTATATCAAGAATTATATAATGTCCTAACATATAACTATGGAATAATTTTCAGACTTTAAGAAAGGAAAGAAAAAAGCGGAAATAGTAAGCATGACCTCCGTTTTGTCGATTGCACTAACGCAATCCGTATCTAGCTTCCTAGAATTACGTTACCTTAAGTAAAGTTACTATTCTTTGATTTGACAGTCGACGATCAGTGGTTTAAAACATTACTTAAGTTCAGCCTATTCACTTCTGCGCATTCGTGAAAGTGAAAAATCCGAGCAACGTTTTTGAAATAGCCTCCCCGGAAATAAGTTAGGTGATTTAAAAAAAATTTAATACTCACTCGCTACTTCTAACCTTCTCAAAATTAAAAGCATCATGTATTTAATTGTTTTTATATTATCTACAATCAATGTAGTCATTGGTGAACAGTGCACTCAGCTTAGTAATTGCATATGTAAATTTACGAATGGTAGTGTCATAGATCTGACCAGCTTGGGATATCAGAATGAAGCCAGGTAACATTTAAAACTCATTAATTTCATATTACACTGTTTTAAGCTCATTTTGAGTTTTTTTAAAAAATAAATAAGACACTCTATACAGTTTTTGAAAGCATTTTAATATTATAAATAGAGAGCGATTTTATATTACTTTACAAGACAAATACATGCTCTGGGTGTTCCATAATCACTGCCCTTAATGTATGCATATCTTTAAAATCCTTGATGAATATGAATACAAAAAGTATAATACAATGGGGGTCGCAAACTAATATTTCAGTGCTAGATGCAGTATCGAAATCTGTTGAATCACATCATATAGGGTGAAATCATTTCATATAGTGCGAAATATGGGATAAACGGGAAAAAAAAAAGTTTTTTGATTTCCCAAATAACATTGGATAGGTATTTATAAAGAATACAATTTTTGTTTCTACGAGAAATCATGATCAGGGTTTGATGTTTTTAGTCCCGCCATAATTAACAGAAATTCATTAGATTTCATTAACGCTTTTTTTTTTTGCCTAAATTAAATATTAATTTGGACCTATTCTGTAAATACGTTTTAACTTTTTTTTTTGTAAGAATCTTAAAAATATACGACAAGTCAAATGTAATTAAATATCAAAAACTATAAAGTATTAAACACCATTAAACGCAATAAAGAGTAATTTCTTTAAATATATTTTATTTTATTCAATATATTTTATTTCAATATATTTTATTAAGATTTTTCTCAGAAATGACAATTCCATGACACACTATGGTATCGAAAGATGAAATGATATTAAACAATAATAAATCTTCCACCTACGATAATATAGTGAAGAGATCTATATATTTAAAAAATTTAGATTGCTAGATTTAAGATATTGTGAAAAGATTTATATATTTGCAGTCAATTTGAAATTTTCTCTTAATTAATTGAAATTTTTGAACAATTTTTTGGACTAAAATTGCTCTTTGCATCCGCTGCCCAAATGTCAGTGTGTAAGCACAGGCGATAGTGGAGTTATGAGGGAGACACAAATTATTCCTTTTATTATTATACATATGAAAATAACATTAAAGGGTAGTACTTATAGAGCACACCATATGTAAGAGTGATTCATTTCTATTGCAAATGACCTCCTCGAGAGTAAAGCTATCTCAAGAAAATTGAATATCTGGAAGCGAGTAAATCGTGACATTTGTTTATGTCGAGATTCAGTAGCCAATCAGGTTCGATACACACACGTGACGTCACTTGCGGATATCCAATTAAATCTGATCCGAAAATTAATTCAGCGTGATTATACTCCAAGCCTAAAAGCTATAACCTAAAGGATTAGGACGTTATAATGATTTCAGAGATAGTTTTCAGTTAAAGTTGCCAGTACCCAATTATTGGAAATTTACTCCCCCCCCCTAAGGATCGTTATGAAATAGTATCATTTTTTTCATGTGTACTGCATTAAACTTGAAATAATTAAACTTAAAATTAATCAGGTATGCATTAAAAATAATATTTGCTTTAATTGGTTATTATTATTACTAATTTCTACGGGGTTCTACTACGCTCTTTTTATAGCGATACGTAGTTTTCAAACATAAATTTCTTTTATTTTGGCATTTTCTTTATTACACTATAAGAAAACTCTATTACTCATGTACCACGTTTTGCCACTCGCTTTATAACGTGTGAGGGATGTATCTCGCAATTGAAATTTTGACAAATTTTCGATTAGCTAGAGTACTAAAATTTTCAATGTAGTTCTGCACAGAGCCCTTTAAGGTATAAGTAACAATAATTTAACGCTGAAGTAGGGTTTATTATAATTTAAGACTAAGTAGAATTTATCACTTTAAATCACTTACACATCATATCACATTTTAAATTATTTTACAAGTAGCGTACTTAAATTTAGCAAATTCATTTAACAAACTTCTTTATTATTTTATTCTTAAGAGGCATTTCCTCTTCCGACAGAGCTCAACTGTCGAAAGGGTGGAGACGGGGAGGGAAAACTCTAAATATTATTTTAATAGTTTTCATTTAATGTTCACAAACAAACTGATGATGTATGTTTACTCCATCTGACAGTATCTTTCGATACATGTAAAATACAATACCGCGGTAATTTAAATTCGCTATTAATTTTTTGCTACAAAATTATGCCATTACAATTCTGCCATCAACGCTTTCTGATAGGTAAGTAAACAATACACAATTGCCAGTTTTTAGATTTCTGAATTAAGAAAAACTTTATGTATTCGGAGAAACCCAAAAAATTGTAATGTAATCCTAAACTTAGATCAATTCTAGTAAAGATGAAACAAATTAATATCACTCTTTTTCATATAAACGGAGTTAGTGTTTTTGTTGTTGTCTTTAATATATTAGTTATAGTTTACTAACTTTTTTTTCTCTATTAAGGTTTAAACGTATAGGACGAAAAAATTCGTATTTTAAATTCTACTACAATCCTTGCTTTCCTTTTACTCTTGGCGGAGCATGTATTGATGTATCAGTAAGTAAATGAATGTATGTTTTATTCTTTTATTTTACAAATAAATGCATCGTTAAAAAAGTTTCTAATTTGAATATGCACTCTCGATTATCCGTGTGCGGATTATCCGGTTTGCGGATTAACCGTGCTCATTCCGGAGTCACACAAAAAATATAAAGAGAAACATCTTCAAGATTTAAAAAATTTGATTCATGAAGTTATAACACTACCAAATTTTTGGAAGCAATATTCGTTATTGGATTGCAGTATATGGAATATCAGCAACATGGTCAAAGGTAAAATCGTCTACGTTATCACGATCTTAGAGAAAGATCATACCGCTTGATGAACAATCCTCTTCAGATGTTCAAGAAAAATACGATAGCAGTATTCTCGAACAAGCAAAAGAAATCTAAGGTTTCGAAATTCTTGATGAAGAAAATTGAGAAGATTGGTTTCAAAATGATGCATGTTAGCCTGGCTTCCAGTATTTGACTGATGAAGACATCGTTATGTTGTTAAATCAAATAGTGATGATAGTAACTGATGCAGAAGATGTAGTAAATGAATGAAATACTATTTCTCATTCTACTGCTCTGTGGAAGCTTTATTAGATTATATGGGAGGATTTGATTACGGTAACATTACTGCGGTTGGTAAAATATGTGTATCGATATATGGCGAAGACGCATTACGCATTTTTTAAAAAGGAAAATTCCTAGTTTGATGTTATGCATGCAAATGTCAGTAATTTTTTTATTTTTTGTACTGATATCTAATTTTTCTTTAACAAAAGGAGTTTTCGGATTATCCGTGTTTTTCGATTGTCCGTGTGACCTGTCCCGGTGATTAACCCGGATAATCGCTAGTGCACTGTAGCTTTAATCGTGACGTGTCATACGGCTGTGATTGAATTAATGTGCTGTTCGACAATTTTTTTTAAGTATAATTTAGGTGCTCTTAACGATAATAGTTATAATTGGCATAACCTGAGCAGTGGTGGCTCAGGAGATAGAGCCTTACAATGAGGTGAACCGGGTGCGAATCCCAGCGATGGCTGGTCGATACGAAATCCGGATATGGATTTAGTGCTTAACCTTTTGTGACAATTTATAAAACGCGAATAATCGTAATTTGCAACTTTAATTTTTCAGGCATTTATTTTATTTTCACGATTATCTTTTTATATCAATTAACACATATAGTTATATTATTGAAAAAAAAGTACGCAATATTTTAACATTTATAGAAAAAATTTATGTGTATGACGTAACGTTTGCGGCACAGTGCATAATAATATTTTTTCAATTATATATATATATATATATACATTTTTATTAAATTTAAATACTTAATCAATTTTGTTAAGATTTTTATCTTATGAAAACATTAACCCTCTGAATTATTATTGTAAATTTATAATCATTATTGTGAATTTATAACGATACTGTTATGTTATATAAGTGTATTTAGAATTATAAAAAGATAAAATAATATTCCCCTTTCAGTCATTTTCAAATTAAACTTAACTAAATTTTTAAAAAAAAATACCTAGTTATGTTCCAATAGTTATCCTTATATAAAATTTGGGTTGAATGGTTTGTATCAAAGGGAACATTAATTTTAAACGGTATTATAGTTAATATAGCAGCGAGGGCTCAGTGGTTTTTTTTAGTCATTCATTGTGAAGAACTAAGGTTCGATCCCCAATGGCTACTTGCAGCCCACTCAGCTTCAGATTAATAAGTTTCACCATGTCTGTGAAGTAAAGGTGGCCCGCGCGCAGCGCTGCTCACATTTCCAAAATCATGCCGTTGGTCATGAACGTATGGAATTTTACCCTCCATGACGCCCCTGGCCCACAACATGCTGTTGCGGGAATGTTTTACTATTTATTATAGTTCTGAAGTGTTTTTTTCCCCTTCTTTCTGCGATTCTAATAAATATTTGTTTTCGTAATTTCTCACATTCATAAATTTGAAGGCAATCTGCTTTTTCGTGATAAAAAATACTGTGCTATTTTTTGTAGTTTTAAGTTAAAATGAATGAATCAGAATGAACTATACTGAACTTCAGAATGGATTATACATAACGGGGGATTCTGACTTGGTTTTTCGCAATTTTGTGCCATTTAACTTTTTTGTAAATGTATCTTTGGGTTGCAATGCCGGTGACCTTAAGATTAAAATAAGTTTTGTAACTCTTGTTTTAGTCTCATGATGGAATTTAACTGTTTCTTTTATTTTAACTAGGTTTGTCAAGTTGGGCCCTCCTCCTCCAACAATGAAGCTGAAAACTGGGATTGCGGCAACAGCAATAATGAATTTATTTGGAATACAACACACAAAACGTTTACTTTAGTGTATACAGCACACAGTCAGCACCCACGTAGGTGAGGGAAAGATTCAAACACCCCTCTGTGCAAGGAGAAAAAAAATTTTCTCTACTCACAAATTTTTTTTTTTTTTAAATCCTCCCAAAGCATTTATTTAGCTAATTCAAAAGGCTTGACTAAAAAAAAATTTAAAAAAAGGGATGACAAAAAAAAAGAAAGAAAAAAACACTTTCTACTTGGCGAGTCAAATAATAAAATAGGCGACTTAAATTAAAGAAGCAACTGGTCACCTTTTCCCATCGATTTTTACCTTGAAAGTCAAGGTACAGAAAGTCGAGTGAAAAAAAAAACTTACATTAAATTTTTATCCATTCAAAATTTTTATCCTGGAATTCAACATTTTTATGATGGATTCCATCAATTTGTGATGGAAAGATTCATGTGAAAGGTGAGTTCTTTAACAATTCACGCATTTCAAAGTTGTACCTAATTTATACATTTAACGTTATTTGCCACCCCAAATGCTTTTAAACAAAGTTCTTTCAATTCAGTATGTTTAACTTAGCAACTCTGACACTTATTTATATTATTTTTATTGCTGAACTAACTTTTGTTGACCGTAAATTATTTCTAATAGGATTTTTTTTAAATATAATTTAATCCAATTCCAGAAAGAACGTTTGCAAAAGGAGGCAATTAAATAAAAATGGCCTATCGATATCGGTCAATGATTCAATAGATTTGAGTAAAAAGTGGTCTCTAAAGTTATTAGAATTTATCGGCCACTAGCTAATAGCTTACTTACTTTATTTAACAAAAGCTGGGTACCTGGGCCGCGCAGAAGACCCATATCCCATTCATCGTGAAATTACAGTAAAATTAAAAAATATAAGCAGTTTGTATAGAGTCTCTGGGGTGACTGATATTGTAAAGCAAGCACCTTGCTTGTTTAACTGAAAAGAAAGTGAAAATAATTCTAAGTAACTTGCTATAGTAAAGATGGCTGTGTATTTATTGTCCACATGAGGTATACTAGCTAATAACAAAAAATTTAAATTTCCAAGTCTTGCACAGAATCTCCCCTTTTTCGTTCAAAAATACACAATATATTGTTATTCCTTTATTTTTAGGAGCAATATTTCTGGGGTCAGTGACGATGAGGCATGGTCATGGTCACGGAATTCTTCATGGCTTCAAAATGCCCTCTATTTCTTCGTACCATAATCTTGATGGTTACGGAGAATCACTTTTAGAGGGCTGTGTAGATTATCCGTATGTATAAAGAAAAAAAATTATTTAGAAAATTGACCGGATTTCGGTCATATATGCTTCACATAGAAAATGTTCTAAAATTGTGACTAATAGTGATCTCAATAATCATTAATAGTAATTATTAAGATCATAATAATGATGAATATTGAGAAAGTCAAGACAGAAAACATCAAAATCAGTTTGATTGCCCGATGAGACTTGGTCTTTCAAAAAAGATCAATTCACTTCCTTTGTTTTCTCCGATAATGTTGTTGTTGTTGTTCATTTGCGTCGCACTAGGGCTGCACAATGGGCTATTGGTGACGATCTGGGAAACATCCCTGAGGATAATCCGAATACATGCCATCACGATTTTGATCCTCTGCGGAGAGGATGGCACCCCCGCTTCGGTAGCCCGACGACCCGCACGCAAAGTCGAGCACTTTACGGTAGAACAGTTTAACGAGGACCAATACCGCATACCCTCGGTACCTACGCAGACTGATCCAAGTGGTCACCCACCTGCACACTGACCGCAGCCAGTGATGCTTGACTTCGGTGATCTGCTGGGAACCGTGTCTTGACGATCAGTCCACTGCGGGATTCTCCGATACTCAAACAGCTTGTATGTTACTGTTCTCGTATTTTTTTTTACCTCATTTTATGCTTATAATTATTTTCTTTTTTTACAGAAAAACAATTGTCAACCTTAAATGTGACGAAGAAGCAATAACACCAATTTTAGAGTTTGAAAAAGAGCTCCCTGAGACCATGGTTTATGTAAGTATTTTGTCGTTAATTATTTTTACTTTATCAAAATGTTATTGATGAAAATATTACATTTTCAGTTACATGTTTTTATATTTAAATATACTCAGTTCCCTCCTTTCGTGCATTTTTATTTCTTAAAATTTTATTATTATTATTTAAAAGGAAAAGCGAAATTCATTTTATCTTGTACGGTGAGCAAAATCTTTATGTTCTAAGACTTAATCTTAATGTTTAGAGATGGTTTCAAATATGCTAATTAATTCACACAGACGATATTTTAAGTTGCGAAATTTGGAACAAAAACGTACCTTCTCTATTATTTATTTATTTTTAAAACGGATTTGGATTACTGATCCCAAAAATGTAGGGGATAGACAAATTATGGTCCCAATACTTTGGTCAGGAGATCAGTCCACAGTTTGCACCTTTTAATGTTAATTTTACTTTTTGCGTATTTCACCATATCTCGAGAAATTTTTAGGCGAATCGAAACATTTTTGCACATAATTATTAAATTCGTTTATTTAAAGATTTCATGCAAAAAAAATATTTTGAGTAAATATTTATTATTTTTCATTACAGTAAAAACTAAATATTTACTAATCAATAGTAGTCGAAACAATTTTGATATGCGATATGTTTTCAAACAGATAATTTTGTTTTTAATAAAATAAATAATTATATTGTTTCAGAGCTATCAAATCTGAATATTAAGTCATTCTAGTGAGTTTGAAGTGAAAATTTGTTTTAGTTAGTTAGAGATATATTGTTAAAAAAATGACAGGGTTGCTAGATTTAGAAATAACTTGCTCTTTTGGCAGTTTTGATTTGGCCTTTTTTTCTTGTTTATTAATATCTGTTCTTGGGGAAAGCCGTGCACCATCCTACGTTAATGTTAATATATTGTTTGAGCAGCGGGATTAGGTTCATTTTAATCATTTAACAAACTATAATTTAGGTTTAGATTTCGAGGTTGGTCTATTGTTAAGAAGATAAGAAGTATTTTATAACCATTCTTTTTTTTTTCAAATGATAATTCTTGCGCCTTGAAATAATAGATCTTCAAATGACGATACTGATAACGATTCTTCTTTTAAACACCAAACAATAAAACACAGTACACAGTAAAAATTGTGTACTGAAAAGCAAAATCGGGGGAGAAATAGTACTAATTCTTTTAGGAGAAACTTAAAAAATCGCTGTCCCTCAGTGGACTGGATTCCCAGTAGGCCACTTTGATCATCCGGCGAGGTTGCGCGGCATTGGTCCTCGTTAAACTGTTCGATTGTCAACTCTGTGCACAGGTCATCCAGCTACCAAAGCAGGGAAACCATCCCCTCTGCAGAGGATCAGAATTGTGATAGCATGTCTTCGGATCATACTAAGGGATGTTTTTCAGACCGTCGCCACTAGGAAATATATGTACAATTTACAATATAATTACACGAAAGATATAATAGGTATATTTATTTACTTAAAAGAATTCCTTAATGAGAGAGAATAATACATTTTTTTTTCTATCGACATTAGTTAAATGAAAAATAGTGATAGGTAAGTAAACTTCTTTCAAATTTTTTGCAATTTCGAATTTTTTTGAAGCCTTTGATTTGAATCATGTGATTCGCAGCTAAGTCGTTTAAGTCATGATATTCGAATCAGTTATCCAAATCACTAGATTTGAAATGAGATCTGAATCACCTGATTTGATACATTTGATTCGAACGATGACCTAAATCGCGGGATTTAATTCACTGATATTAATCATTTAATTTGAATATTGATCCAAAACACACGATTCAAATTATTGATGCAAATCACATGATTTGAATCGTTGATCTGAACCACTTGATTTGAATATTGATCCAAATCTCATGATTCGAATCAGTAATCCGAATCACATGATTCGAATCAGTGTTCTGAATCAAGTGATTCAAATCACTGATTTGAGTCGCTGATCTGAATCACTTGATTCGAATATTGATCCGAATCATATAATTGGAAGAGAGATCCGAATCGCATGATTGCAATCAGTGATCTGAATCTCTTGAGTCGAATCATTGATCTGAATAACATGATTCGGATCAGCGATTTAAATCACTTAATTTGAGTTACTGATCTGAATCACTTGAGTCAAATCAGTAATTTGAATAACTTTTCGAAACATGATTTGGATAAATATTGGAATCAAATGATTCAAATCTATAATTCGAATCGTGTGATTCGGATTACTGATTCAAATCATGTGATTCGGATAGCTGACACGAAGCAAGTGATTTAAATCACTGATTCAAATCAAGTGATTTGGATCACTTTTTGAATCAAGTGATTCAGATCAGTGAGTCGAATTCATTCAACTAATGATGATAGAAATTTTTTTTTATTTTTTTGTCATTAAAGAATTCTTTCAAATAAATAAATATACTTATTATATCTTTCATATAATTATATTGCATATGTTGGTAATTGCTATGAAGACTTTTAACTATGGTAAATTTTAAGAAACTACAAAAGAAATGTTTTATTTATTTTGCATTTATTTTTTATCTGAATTCATCGAATTCTTTAATTGAAAAATCATGAGTCCTTTATGCTTAAGAATCTCTTAGGTTTTACAAGAACTTTTTAATTTTATATATGACAAAGCATATAAGTTCAGAATCCGAATCAGTTGGAGAAAGAAGGTATACACAAATATATTTTCCCTCATGAGAAAAAGGTTCTTGCCTCTAACTTTTGTAGTGCAGACGATATTTCACAATATGATTGTATCATAAACTAGTACGTGAAGAAATAGCACGTTAAAATTGTGCGTAAGTTGTAGTACGTGAAAATCTGATCACTTATTATTCAAGTTACAATTGAACTCTTCCATCATACAGAAGTATAATATTTTGAAATATTAATGATTTTCATTCTTTTTATACCAGGAAATGACTTTAACAAGCAGATGTGCATGTCCTGATCTTTGCCAAGTTAGTGATCTTTGCTATGTTGCTCCTAAATCTGCTAGCCCTGTTTCTACTAGTCCTGTTTCCGTTAGTCCTGTTTCCGCTAGTCCTGTTTTGCCTTATCAATTTGTAAGTTTTTAAAACAATGGAAAGTTTTTCTAGATGATGGTGTTTATGAACTATTTTTAATTCGTAAATTAAAGGTTATGTGCTTCTGCTCATGTATGAATAGTACAAAATGCTTTTAATCTCACTAAATACTATTATTGTCCAACATTCCCATTTATATATCCCAATTTATTTTGATATCCGGTAATTCATATTTGTATTTAAGTAAATTAAATGATTTTGCGTGGTTAAAGTGTTTAATAATGTTTTTTTTTTTCGATCTATTCGTTTTGAAAATATTTAGACAATGCTTGAATTATATAATCTTAATTATTGCATATTTTTCTTTAATGTCTGCTATTTTCTTCACAGGTTCTACATATTTGTGTCATTATGTCTCTTACAATGATATTAGAACTGATTTTTCACAACTAGTCCTGTAAGTAATTTTTAACTTTTTCGTATCAGTTTAAAATGTTTCTGGACTTTTTTTCTTCGATTTTCTATTGAAATTTTTTATGTTTTTTGTTAAACAAATAGTCGGTGAGATTTTAAATCTGGACTTAGATTGGAATGAGTGTTTAAGAAAATGGACACAGTTCAAAATGTGTGTTTACAAAATTGGACATAGCTCAAAATGTGCGTTTACGAAAATAGACATCGCTCAAACTGCTTGTTTAGGAAATTAGACATAGCTCAAAATATGTGTTTATAAAAATGAACTATAACATTTGATTCTGTTTTTTAAATTTCTTGCATGAGTATTTTATCTTTTTTTTTTATTGAATAAACTAATGAATCCAAATAAATTTGCGATTTGATATCGTCAATTTGCATAAATCACTTTGTACATTTAATAAAATTAGTCTTTTTTCAAGAGACTTTTAAATATACAGTTGTTTTTACAAGGTTGCTATGGTATAATGACATATATATCAAAATTTGAAAATACATCCCAGAAAGCATGTAACCTTACGGTAACCTTGGGTCGGAATTTTTTTATTATTGTCACGAAAATGTTCGAATTAAAAACCAGATTTAAATAAAGCAAAAATATTGCAGTTTCAAACCTTTTGTCTTAAGAGAGTTAAAAATTATTTTTATGGCTTTTTGAAAAGTATTGTTACTTAGGTAGCTGAGCATACAAGACGTTGCGAAAGGAAACCTTATAATTACCTAGATTTAAGATTATTTTCACTTTAAGACTAGTTTTATTGAAGGATTTTTTCAAGCTTGAAAACCCTAAGACAACCTCGATTTAGGGTTTTTATAGAAGGTTGTTTTCCAAGGTTTAGGATTAGGGTAATGTGCGCAGAATAGAGCACGGATCTCGTTTTAAGGATAAAAGGTTTATAACTTAAACCGCATAAAAAACCTTTGTAGGTTTACATTAAAAGGCTGAGTGAAAATAAACTTTATTTTGCTATCTGGGCATGTGAAAGAGACCAGAAAAAAATGATATATAACTTCTGAAAAAACTAATATCAAACGACGTGAAACTACGATGGAATCCTCACGAATCGAGCGATTCAAAAAGTGTTAATTAATTCGAAATTTGCGTGTTGTAATATTGTATTAAAAACATCAAAATTTGAAAACCCATCTGATAAGGGCCAAAAAAATATATATATAAATATGGTTGAAAATGACTACTTGTATGAGAAATGGTATGTATTGACTGGCGATGATGCGATTTTAGAGAATTGCCGAACATTTTGCTTCTAAAAAAGATTGCTTATGATTTTTTTTATTTCTGCTCGTATTTGATAAACTTATGTTTGATTTTATTGCAGTCTCAAGATACATAACTACATTGATTTTCGAATATATATTTTAGCCTAATATTTCAAGCAACAGAAAAAAAATTTATAAAATAAATGGCCGTTAAATAGAAAACAAAAATGCAATTTACTGAATTTTAAGAAGGTACAGATGGCAAGAAAAATAGTAACAGTACTACTGGGGTTAAGATTTTATTACCCCTGATAGGTAATTTATGTATAAATATTGTGACTGTAGACAGCAATTTGCTTTGTTTGTAGCGTATATACGACTAAATATATCTTCGTTTTTTTTAATTATTGAAATTGAGCAAACTGAAAATACAATTCGCACAATTTTGTGATAATTTCTATTAGAATCAAAGTCATGAAAATAAATAAGATAAGTTCAGAGCACAAGTGTAAATGAAATCTGTAACCGAAGTTAAGTAAACGCCAGCCAATGCATACCATCTCTTTTCCCACACGTAGTGATGACATTTTCGTCCAATAGCGTGATCCGGCCACTTTGATATTTAATCGCTCCTGCCGATACACAGAGGATGTGACGATATGTTCCAGGCACAAATTACGACTAACGGCCGTTTACTTCAAACCCTGCTTCTAAGCAATTTCAAATGGCTGTGGAATACTTGAATCGTATATCAGAATTTGTTTCAGGCCCTCAACCAGTTAGAATTTATAAATTACAGAAAGCTTTTATGGATGTTAAAATTACGCTTCAATTTAAACACAAATCACTATAATAAAACTTCTCTAGAATATTAAACCTGTTCACACATCACCTCATAAGCATAACATATGCGGAAGGATACACCGGAAGTCTTCTATATGTCTTCCGGTTTTAGGAAGCTTGTTATTGTTAAACGCCAGCCATTACATACCTTCACTCTTTCCGCACGTAGTGATGAGATCAATTTTCGACCAATAGCGTGATCCAGCCACTTTGATATTTAATCGCTCCTGTCGATACTCAGAGGAAGTGTTCTAGGCACAAATGATGACTAACAGCCGTTTATTTCGAACCCTGTTTCAAAGCAATTTCAAATGTTTCATAATTTTTGCTATCTTTAGATATAAATTGAGTATATTTTTCAGGATGGTCATGGAATACTTGGATTGAGTGATCGCAAAGCAGAAATTGCATATGAAGTGCAAAAACTTTTTCTTTCAGATATGTTAAAGCTGGATTTTAAAAACATTTTCTTATTTGGAGATTTATATTTGAGTATGCTATTATACAAACTATTTTTATAACTTCTTAACTGAAAATTATACTTCTTGAGAAATAAATAATAAAATAATGTTCATAATGTTATACTTGTTTACAAATAAAGAATTAGAAATTAAGCTTTCGCCATGTATGTTTGTTGTTTATTGAAAAAAATTTTATTTTAATTTATATCAGAATTTATTTTTAAGAATATTGTATGTTTATGTTTGTGTACTATAGTATGAGTGAGTGTTCATCAGTTCGCACGATTGTATTCGCAAAAATAATGCTTTCCAATATCGTATTAATGTAGCCAAAGCAAAATATATCAATGCAATAGTGTGAGCAAAAAAAACAAGGACAGATTTATTAACGAAATTTTATCAAGTAAAACTATCTAAATATCACAAAAATTCAAAATAAGAAACAAATACGAAAATATATATATCGAGAAGAACATAAAGATGACACGCACTTAGGAATTTTTTTTAAATATTTCCATAACTTAGTTGCCAGATTACAAAATATGAAATTAAAGCGTAAATAAAGGGTGTAAGGAGATATATTTTCAATGCGAGTTCATTCTGCTGAAGTTAAGAACAGCATTTGATTTGGCTGTTAACTTTTATTGGCACGAAAACTAAATTCGTGCAAGATAATGATATATTATATTGGATAATTAAAAGTTTACAATTAATAGAAGGTCAAATTTAAATGTAGATTATAGAAATCATTAACATTTATTGAATAATATTAATTATTTGAATATTGGAGGAGGATGTAAGTCAATTGCTAACTTTTAGCCTCAGATTTGTCCGAATTTGATTTGCATATAGCAAAAGTATCAGAATAGATATCTAAAAGATTTTTATGCAAATATATTATTTTATTAATTTTAATACACAATTAACTCAATAGTTACGTATGGAAATAAATTACATTTGTTGGATGTCCGTTGTTTTTAATCAAATTTTGGAAAAATATGTCTACTTTTTGGATTGATAAATATTACTGCAAATCTTTTCAATTCGATATATAGTTTAGCTGCATAGTTTAGTTTAGTCCTTTTCTAATTTTTCTTTAGCCTTTAAGTATTATGTATACTGATGTACTGGTTGTGGGTAAAACAAACTAATCTGAATAAATTTTGATCTAATTATTAGATCTTCACTTTCTAAGACTCGATCTTATTAGTTCATAGGAATTACTGCAAATGTGCTAATTAATTAGTATAGATGATATTTAAAGTTACGAAATCACTCACAAAAACGTACTTTTTCTGAATAAAACGTACTTTTTTCCTCCACGTAATCGGATTTGGATCTCTTCCTAAAAATATAAGGGTTAACCGCAATTTGGAAAATGTGGTTCCCATATCTTGGCCAGGAAAGCAATTCAAAGTTTTCATCTCTTAACACGCATTGAGAACTTGAGCAAATTGAAAACTTTTTGTCACAGTTATAAAATATATAACATAAAAACACAACAAGATAAGAAATGAAATGAGAATACATAAATTTCGGATAAATGTCGAGGTTTTCTTGTAAATTTTGTGATTTATTAAACTGTGACAAATAATTTTTAAAACAATTTTTGTCCACAAGTAATAAATGTTTATCAGAATTTAGTTACACTTTTAGGTAAGAAGTTATATATTGTGTAACGAAAGCATGAAATTTTATTAAAAATTTCAAATATTTAGCAAACAAATGAAATAATGTCTTTCAAACATTTTATTAGGTATTTTTCCAAAAATATTTAAGTAGCCATATTAAAAAGTTTCTATAAGGATCGACACTAGAAATTAACGTAGTATCCAATAAGAAATAAATTTACAAGGGTGGAATTTCTAACAAATTACTAAATTGTTTTAAATTTCCTTCTATCTTTCAAAATATATATGCGAGACAATAATATTATAAATTTGAATAGAAAAAATAAATTCTCAGAGAGTAAAAAATGCTTTAAAATGAATTGTTAAAATTTTTTTAAAGAATTCACACTTACAACAAAAAAAGCTCTTTGTTTTTTAAATGTTAAATTCTTATTTTAATCATATTAAAATAATTTTTAGGAAATATGACATTCGAAATCTGTTTCTCCCGTAGGCATTATCATGACAAATATAATATTTAAACACTAAAAACTTACTTTCTGAGTTCATTTATATATAAACTCAAATTATTCTAAAGAAATAAAATTTTTTATTCAATTGTATAATTAAACTATAGAAATAATTAAGAGATCTACAAATATTTAAGTAAATATAACATCAAAGAATATTTTGCATAAAATGCATTATATGCTATATGAAAAATTTTCTTACCTGAGAAATATATAGAATAATTATTGGAAGATCTAGAAGATTGAAAATTGCAATCACAGGTTTCCACCATATACTGAAGACTTTTTTCCAATTTTTCACAAACGAATTTTTTAGCACTTTACATAACCAAACAAAATTTATTTCAACTTTAAAATATATATGTACGGATGAATTCAGCTACTAAGTTACAAAAATGTGCTTAAAACATTCTTTAAAATTTTGTGAAAACAATTAAAAAATTTTGAGTTGGATAATCGTTTGCATTTTTCTTTAAGTTAAAATAGCGATTATAGCAAACGATAAAATAACATTGGTAGATAAAACAACACACACAAAAAAAGATCATGTGATTATTAACTTTAGTTTTAGTATATTTGGAATGATAAAATAAAGTTATGAGTATAATTACCGATTTCTGATACCCAATTATAGGACTTTCTCTTGCAAGTATATATTTCTTCAAGCAAACTATATTTAAAAAATATGAAGTTTTATTTAAATGCATTATCTATATTACAAATAAATTAGTTAACCAGTTTAAATTGATAAGTATACCTGCATTGACAATTTTATAAACAATGTTATTTTAAAGAATTTTTTTTAGATAATGTCTGGCTGTAAATGCTTTTCTATTTTTTTTTAATTTTTGCTTCTTAAAAAGGGAAAGTTTGACACTTTTTATAGCCAAATATGTTTTATTTATGTGAAGTGAAACTTGTTGACAAAATTTGTTTTCAATCTAAATGCTTTTTATGTAAATGCAATATGATTGAATATAGACATCAAACAAAAACGTAACACACTTCGTATCAGGTAACATCAATTGACAAAACAGCAAGTAAAGTAATTATATACGTAGTGAAATACTTAATCTGTCAGATTCAACAGTATGAAGGACAAAAGCAATTGTTTTCATTTTCGGTTAATTAAAATCACTCGTTCAGCAACTGAAATGTTTAAGTTCATAAATCATTAAACATTTTATCTGTAAGACGTGTAAATGATAATCAATGAAAATCAACTTTACCATCTATCTGTCTGTACGCTATAACTTGCAGTTTTAAAAAGAATATTTATACAAGCAAATAAAAAACGCAATGGCATTTATTTATGCCTTTATATTTGTTTTGTATATGCTACGGTGAATGACCGAAAGTCTCGAAATGTCGACATTCACCGGTGAATGTCAACATTCACGTAGTCGCTTGGAGTATGTCCGAAATATTTGCTAAATACCCTTATTTCTGACACACACCGATGAATGTCAACAATCACATAGTCGCCTTGGTGAATGTCCGAAATATTTATTACATTCGATTTGATATGAATTTATTCGTGGATATAATTACATTTATTCGATATTTTAATACTTACTGACGATAGAGTCATCATTGTTTGGAGTATCGGGCCATACATTTACATTTGCCCGGTATACCCTACACTGATGTTTTTTTAAGATTAAGTGCCACTGCCCGGTATACACCAAGTATCATGCAAATATATGCCGGGCAATGGCACTTAACCTTAAAAAACATCAGTGTAGGGTATACCGGGCAGTGGCACTTAACCTTAAAAGAACATCAGTGTAGGGTATACCGGGCAGTGGCATTTAACCTTAAGTGGCTCAGTATACCCTACACTGATGTTTTTTTAACGTTAAGTGCCACTGCCCGGTATACATTTGCCCGGTATACCCTACACTGATGTTTTTTTACTTGACCTTAAAAAAACATCAGTGTAGGGTATACAGGGCAAATGTATGCCGGGCAGTGGCACTTAACCTTAAAAAACATCAGTGTAGGGTATACCGGGCAGTGGCACTTGACCTTAAAAAAACATCAGTGTAGGGTATACAGGGCAAATGTATGCCGGGCAGTGGCACTTAACCTTAAAAAACATCAGTGTAGGGTATACCGGGCAGTGGCACTTGACCTTAAAAAAACATCAGTGTAGGGTATACAGGGCAAATGTATGCCGGGCAGTGGCACTTAACCTTAAAAAACATCAGTGTAGGGTATACCGGGCAGTGGCACTTGACCTTAAAAAAACATCAGTGTAGGGTATACAGGGCAAATGTATGCCGGGCAGTGGCACTTAACCTTAAAAAACATCAGTGTAGGGTATACCGGGCAGTGGCACTTGACCTTAAAAAAACATCAGTGTAGGGTATACAGGGCAAATGTATGCCGGGCAGTGGCACTTAACCTTAAAAAACATCAGTGTAGGGTATACCGGGCAGTGGCACTTGACCTTAAAAAAACATCAGTGTAGGGTATACAGGGCAAATGTATGCCGGGCAGTGGCACTTAACCTTAAAAAACATCAGTGTAGGGTATACCGGGCAGTGGCACTTGACCTTAAAAAAACATCAGTGTAGGGTATACAGGGCAAATGTATGCCGGGCAGTGGCACTTAACCTTAAAAAACATCAGTGTAGGGTATACCGGGCAGTGGCACTTGACCTTAAAAAAACATCAGTGTAGGGTATACAGGGCAAATGTATGCCGGGCAGTGGCACTTAACCTTAAAAAACATCAGTGTAGGGTATACCGGGCAGTGGCACTTGACCTTAAAAAAACATCAGTGTAGGGTATACAGGGCAAATGTATGCCGGGCAGTGGCACTTAACCTTAAAAAACATCAGTGTAGGGTATACCGGGCAGTGGCACTTGACCTTAAAAAAACATCAGTGTAGGGTATACAGGGCAAATGTATGCCGGGCAGTGGCACTTAACCTTAAAAAACATCAGTGTAGGGTATACCGGGCAGTGGCACTTGACCTTAAAAAAACATCAGTGTAGGGTATACAGGGCAAAT